GGGCAGGGAAGGGAAGGGAAGGGAAGGGAAGGGAAGGGAAGGGAAGGAAAGGAAAGGAAAGGAAAGGAAAGGAAAGGAAAGGAAAGGAAAGGAAAGGAAAGGAAAGGAAAGGAACATGAACTCAGAAAGAAGGAGGAGGGTAAAATAACAGTAACAACATCTGAAAAAAAGTCACAAGTAATCATATTATTAACTACCTAAAAATAGCTGTAATGCATAGAAGACAGTATATGAATATACATATAAAGTTTAAATGAAAATTTGCCCATCTGGGTCAACGATGCTCTCTATCCCTACCCGCAAACACCACAGATCATCTGAAAAACAAACCTAAAACGGCAACAAACAACACCAGACACAGGTGGAAGACAACTCCCTATTGCTGAAGACACTGTGCAGTTCAGTCACAGGCGCTGAGCTGAATCTGACACGAAAGCCTCCTCCCTGAGCACCGGGTTTCATGGTAGTGCCAGAAGATGCCGCGCAAGCTTCAAAGGACAGAAATAGCCAACGGCCCTATCCAGGAATAATGCCTGTCAACAACCACATTAATACCTAGCCCCACATGGTAACGCTAAAGGTGAGGAGTGGTACACATCCCTTGCTGGTAACCAACAGCTCTTTAACTGGACTTAAGATGCATTTATCAAGAGAGAAATCAACCTAGTACTGGAAACCTAGTCAACTATCTAGGGTTAGTGGTATCGTTCATCTTAGAGGAGACCCTCCAATTGTCACTTTGTCAACCCAAAACAACCCTTAACTACATTCTAAAGGTTTGTCCTTATACCCAGAGATAGTGTAGTCCTCGCCCTTTATCAAGGAAACTTTTCTTTGCAACAGACAGGGAACATCACAGAAAGCCACAGCCAATCAAAATGCAGTATTGCAGAGCCCAGTGCACATAGTCCATCTATAACACATTCCTGTACCTGAGGTTCAGGGATCATTGTGGAAAAGGGGAGAGAAAGAGAGTAAGAGGGTAAGGAAATTGCAGTGAGATTGTGTCTGCTAGTAATATATGTAGCTATACCCAGGAAGTCTCACCAACATGGATGCCTAAACATGACTTGAACAAAATGACACCAAAAGACAGATTAACATGGGAGGAGAGTTCATGGAACCTCAACCTCAGATAAAGAACTATTGGCAGCTAATTATTGACTGAGGTTTCTGCCCTGCCCGGTTCCCAAAGTTGTTAAGTCCCAAAGAAATTGCACAGAGGTCTACATTAATTATAAACTGATTGGCCTAATATCTCAGGCTTCTTATTAACTCTTATAACTTTTATTAGCCCATAATTCTTGTCTATCTTAGCCATGTGGCTTGGTACCTTTTTTGGCAAAGTAGTCACATCTTGCTTGCTCTGTGTCTGGCTTCCTACATGTCTAGGTGAAGACTGCAGACTGACTCTTCCCAGAATTCTCCTGTTCTCATTGCTCCACCTCTACTTCCTGCCTGGCTACTGACCAATCAGCATTTATTTAGAATACAAGTGACAGCGTACAGACCATTGTCCAACAGCAGCTAAAGAAAGTGACCAATGGGATAGATTGCTTCTCCAGGGTAGAGCATCCCAATTGGCTACCCAGTACCAAACAGTTAGTCCTAAAAAATATACAGGTAACATTAATGTGGAGTGGTCAAGTTGAATTTAAGAGTGGAGTGTGTGTGCATGTGTGTGTGCATGTGTGTGTGTGCGTGTGCGTGTGTGTGTGTGTGTGTGTGTGTGTAAAAGAAAGAAAAAGAGTTCATAAATTTGAAAGAAAAAAAGAAAGAAGGTATATGGGAGGTTTTGGAGGGAGGAAAGGAAAAGAAAAATAATGCAATTATATTATAATTTCAAAAAAGGCCAGATGCTAATGGGAATAATCATGTTTTCTTAGTACCTACTCATCACTCAGTAGACTCCAACAGGAATAGGACTGAGTCCTTAGTCCTATTTTGAAACTTAACTAACTGCTGCCTTCTCCTAAAGTATTCCTTCGGGTTGAAATTCTTCATTCCTTTGGTTTCCATCTCACCACTCTTTCCTGGTTTTCTTCCTGACTCTCTGGTCACCATTTTTCGGTCTCCTCTACCTTCTTTTCCATAAATGCCTCTTAAAGATTGGCACACATGCCTAAAGTGCACTTGGTTTTCTCTCTTCTTACCCCAAGTACTAACAGTAGAAGAATATGACTATGGATATGTGATGGGTATAAATACTAGAATGGTAAACATGGTTTTTTTTTTTATTTTTTTATTTTATCTTTTTTTTACCGCATGATAAATCATCTCTGCCTCAACCGTGTGCTTCAACTCTCTACTGCTCTCTCCAGGAATCATCAACAGTAAACACCCAAACACCATAGCTAAACAAACAAAGCTTCTCAGAGTTGCCATCCCTTCATTTGAAATCCTGTCTCTCACCATAGCTACCTAGTATCTAAGATTCTGAGATGCATCCCTTCTGGGGAGGATCAGACTGACAAATAGAGACTCAAATCCGAGTTCTATTGTTTGCTTGATACACAAAACAGCCAAGTTTCCCAGCCCATCTGATCCTATATTCCTAATCTTTGAAATGAGTGTTGTGAGAATGATATGATCAAACCTGTCAGTCCTAGCTTGGCCTCTAACATCACTGGACTACTCAGTGAAGTGTTGACTCCTTCCTCTTTCTCTGTGTATATGCTGCACTGCTTAAACATGCCACAATTTCTATCCCACATCACTGTGGTTTTGCATATGCTGTTCCCTTGGCCTAGAATCTTCTCCTTCACTACCCCAATCCCATTTCTACTGGCCAAACTATCACACAGCTCTTAAGGGCATTAATTATCCAGAAAGATTTCTTCCACAAGCCCACACTGCTGTTATTGCCAGGTTCTCCCTTCTCAAAGCCTCACATCCCTTCTCTGTCACTCTGACATAATTATATATATATATATATATATATATATATATATATATATATCCATTTCCCAAGCCAGGTAATGAGCTCACTTAGAATTCCATGTATTGATTCCATTGTTGACTTACTACAAAGATATCTAAATAAAGAAAAGCAAATGAATGTTGGAGTACTTAGTCAAGCTAAATGGTAGAGACAAATTATTCCATTTCCATATTATTTACTGCATCACAAATAGAGCCTAGATTGTATGCACCTTGTGGTTGCTTGGGTACAAGATTAAAATGTTTTCATTTCTCATGTACCATATACCAACATAAAAAAAAACACAAAAAAAATCTACATATTCACAGTTCTTCTTCAGATCCATTATAGTCATTATCAAGATTTATAAGACGTGGACATATGGCTGAATATCTTTTGAGACAGGCATTTAATAATATAATAACAACTATATTGGTTTAAATAAATAGATATGTAGTTAAGACCTGTAGGAGCTGTGCTGGCTGGCTGGTTTTTATGTCAACTTGATACAAGCTAGAGTCGGAGGAGAGACAGACCTGATGGATGTTTTCTTGATGATTGACAGGTGAGGATGCAGAGCACCAAGCAAGAAGCATTCACCAGAACCCAGCCTCACTGGTACCCAGGATGGATTTCTAGCCCCCGTGAAAACGAGAAAATAAAAATCAATTGACTCAAGCCCCACTCTATGGTGCGTTTTCACAACTGCCAAATGGTTTAAGATACAGAATGTGGACCTTTATTATTTTCTTTTTTAAATTCAAATCCACTTTGAAGGATCTTCCTGATCTCGGCAACCAGGGTATCTCAGACACCACAACGCACATAGTTCACGAGAAGATCTTTGTCAGGAAGTTCAAAAGGGTTTCTTCTCAGTGGAAAGTGTCCTCTTGCCTTATATTATAGCCTCTAATATCAAGGAAATGGACATTTTAAAATATGGCTAACCGGTGCTTTAATTCCTCAGAAATGCGGCAAGCAAGAAGGAAAACTGCACTCTTAGAGAATTTAAATAATGAGACCGAAGGAATGAAAATTATTCCTCCTGTGGAGAACTAGCCTTTTCTCATCTATAACCCGTATCAGCCCTACCTCCAACACTGAAGAGATAGACATACACCATACATCACACACACATACACACACACATCACATTACATCACATATACACTCTTATGTATGCATACACCACACACATCACAATACACACATACCATACCCATATACCACACACCACATATCACACATATATATACCACATAGACATGCACATACCACATACACACATTACACATATATACACACACATACATATATACCACACACATCACATATACACACATACCATATACATATAACACACATCACACATACCATACACATATACCACACATCTCACACACATACACACATCTCACACACATACACACATCACACACACACAGATATCACACACACATTGCCACATCATACCACGCAAACATACACATAGACACACATGTACACACACACATGCAAAAAGTCTTCTAGAGGTAAGGATATAGTATACCATTAATAAGAAACAAAACTCTATTGTCTCTGCACATCAGACATCTATTTTCAGCATTATGCTGGGTGAATGGGTGTACAGTTCTGAGCTTCCTACTGCCTGAAAAATCATGAATCATCAAGCCAGCTTGAGTCACCTGATGCGTCATGTGTGTACCCCATGGCTGAGATCCTAGTGTTATAAGAGTTAGGGTTTAAAAAGAGAAGAAGACCAACTATCTGAATGGCTTCTCCTCTCTGTTGAATACCTTTGCAAAGATACTATTATGTGTAGGCTGTGACTTTCACCTATAGTTTATTTCTTAAACTTTCATTATCTTTATTTTAACAGGGCCCCGGACCTTAGGAGGCCCTAGGACCTGAGCATAACTGACTCCATGATTGAAGAACCATTCAGGATCTAAAACTCAGCACACAGCACCGCTTGCCAAAACGAAAGCAAAGTCCTAATTGACCAAAGTCCATAGCTCTCAGAAATGTTCTAAATGTACTTACCTTGCTTGTTGGCTCTTTAGTTCTGCTTCTGGTTAATTGTTCTTGTTAACTGAAGCATGTCAAGCCAGGATGTGGTTTTTGTGCTTCCGGGAGACAGATGTGGACCTGGGAAGACAGGGAAGTAAATGTGATCAGAGTGCATTACATGAAACTTCCAAATAATCAATAAGCATATTATGCTGGAGGAAAAAAAAAAACCTCAGCTTGAAAAAGGCCGGGACTACACTGGGACCCGAAATGCTCTGTGTAGTCGCCGGCCTGCTCATAACTTTCTGTTTGCTTAAATACTTTTCCGAGCCGTCTTCTCTGGTAGATAGATAGCCCACAATATTTATGACTGCCTAATTGACATAGTTGTTAATTCTCACTTTTCGCTTGAAAAGTCCTGTTTACTAAAAAGAACATCTACCAGTGATAAGGATGCTGGGTTTCAGGCTTCCAGGGCGGGCTCCATCATCCGTCTCAGTTGTAAAAGAGGTAAACTTGGCTGTGAGGTTTTCCATACAAACCACCGCAGGCAGCTGCTGCTACAGATAGAGTACAAAACTATGATCTTGGGAACAGGACTCCAAACTGTAGAGTGCGCTCATTTTTCTTCTCCTTCGTGAACAAGGTGCATCCTCTGTCTCTATTAGAATCATACCATTTTGGAAAAATGTCTCCACTCCAAGTTCAGCCTCTCTCAACCTATAACAAACACTTCAATTGTGAAGACTCATTAATGACAGAATTGAGTGACCTCATCAAAGGTAACTGCAGGCTAAGCCCCATCAGAGGTCATCACAGGACACGGCTTTCTCTCACTTCACCAGCCTTCTATCTCAGAGATGCTGTGCAAGGTTCTCCCTACAAGGATTTCTTTCAAGGCTGAATGAGCTAATTTGTTTAATGGACTCCCAACGATAACACTACCTAGCTAACAATGGCTGCTCTTGTTATCACTGTTGCTGCGTGAATCAGCAGAGTGTTGCAGGAAGAACACTGGTCTGGGGAGCAAACTTTGTAGAGCTGACTGCAGATGTTTTGATGTCTTAACTTGTATGGAATCATACAATTCACTGAAATTGTCTCATCCTCAACTCCCCTGATGTAGAAAATGAGGGTCATTTCACCTCTCAGGAAGGTTTCTTAAGAGATAACAGAATCAAATGGGAAAAGATTTTGAGAGCCTTTTGTGGCTTTGCAAAGCAGGATGCTAAGCTTTGTGTTCACAAACACAAGAGGGAGCGTAGGATGGGGTCAAAGTCTAGAGCCGTAGCTGCAACTGTTGCTACATTAAACTCCCACAGCAGCCTCCCATCATGCTCCGCGGCCCTCTCTCCTGAAGGTTCGCTCTTCCCTGGCCACTCTCTTTCCATTCCATTTGATAATGGCTCCTGCTCAGCTGATAACGTTGATAAGGCTGGACCATTTGGTAAACAGTGACTTTTAAAGGTTTTACTTCTTTGAACACTGGTTTCAAACAGACCCCTTGAACATGATATTCAGAATGCGATGTGACAGACTCCGAGACAATTTATGGTACGTTTTCAAAATGATTTCCTGTAGACTACCTTACTTAAAACTCAAGGCCACCCTGTGAGGTAGGTAGTTGAAACTATGTTCAAGAAAAAAAAAAAGAATGGCTCCTGGGGGGCAGCAGAAAAAGTCGAAACTGATACACGGTCTGACACCATGGCTAAAACTGTACACACTATAGGCCTGGGATTAATATTTTCGCTCTCTGTATACCTCTGCTTGGACAATTGCACTCGTTTACCCGGAAGAAGTTTGGTGTCATTATGCTGTCGGCTGCTCAAAAATAAAAGGGAATAAAATTCCTCAGCACTCTCCTATACTTACTTCTTCTTTAGCAAAACTATTTAATAGTCTTCAGATCGGCTAAGTAAACACTGCTATTTTTTTGCCATTACTTGGCATTTTCCTGCTATGTTCTTTGCCTTTGGTGTAACACCGGGTATGCCAAAATATAACACTACCTGCAAAGAAAGTTATTAATATCTTTTGAGTAAGACAAATTTAAATTCAATGTTCCATGCAGCTTTACGTGAGTGTTTGATATATTTTAAGCTTCTACATATACTATGTAAAAGCTAACTCCATATATCTATTTTAATTTCTAAATATTTGGATTGGGAAGATCAGTGAACATTTATAGTGCTCTGATTTTTTTCATAGTATTTCAAGTCACACCTTGATTTCTGGCTGTGTCTCCTTTATAGTCTGATGTTGTCTGTCCCCAGGGAGAAAAGATCTCAGTAAACAGACAGAAAAGGAGACCTCTCTATGTTCCTTCTATGTCTTCTCTCAGAAGTGAAATGGCATTTGCTTCCAGTTTATTACATGAAGCAGATGCAAAATAAGGAGGCTCCAGAACATGTCTAGTACTCCAGAAGAGGATTCTAGGGTTAGCTCAAGGAAATCAGTTACTGAGGCTCTTTCTTCCTACGTTCTTTACCCAGTATTTCTAACACCAGAGTGCAGGAAAGCCAATATTCTTACTGAATATTTCAAGAATGAAAATTAGGACTTGTTCGGTTTCCAGTTATTACAATTTTAGTGTGTCTTGTTTTATTGCTGCTACTTTTGAAGCCAAGCAACAGGTCTAACATCTCGATACTACAACCGGGAATAAGAGGGGGTTTGCTTATGGAAGAAATTTCTTGGGCAAAAAACGTTTTTTCTTCTCTATTGCCTCTATAATTTTTCTCATTCTGAAACCAAAATTTCAGTCACGAGGCTGTCCAAAATTCTTTTGCTATTTTCCAAACTATAAAATATTTGGTCTGGTGGAAAGACATTCTATTTGTTCAAAGTGCTTATTTTTAAAAGATCTTTAGTTTGAAGAACTCTCTACTCTTGTTAGAGTCATTAGTAAAACACTTGCCCATCGCTTTCCAGTAAAGATTTGAAACAATTCTTCACAATCACCTGATTTACGGCTAGTGACACAGTCATAGGGTCCTTTGAAACAAGTTAATTGGCTTCTAAATTTTAGTGAAGAATCTAAAGAATCATTTATTGGTAAATGAGAGGGTGTGGACAATTTTCTGGAAGCAAGCCTGGTCAAACTGGTTAGACACCAGCTTTTGCATAAGGGTAACCGGAGGGGGAAGATAAGATTGCATTATAGTTCCCAGGACACAACAGTAAGGGGAAAGCTCAGACTCGACCCCATAAGCTCTGCGCATTATTCGTGGGGCAGAATCTGTCATCTGAATTCAGTCAGAAATGCATACCCCAAGGTTTAGGACAAGAGTGGTGCTAAGATTGAGATTTTTTAAAATTATGTCTAAGTCTAATTGTTTAAAAATCTAATGCCTTTTGTGGAGTCCAGGGAATCCTGCAGAAGAGGGTGAGAAAGGACTGTAGGAGCCAGAGGGGACAAGGACACCCCAAGAAAATGACCCACAGAATCAACTAAGCAGGGATCACAGTAACTGAATTGACAATCATGGAGCCTGTATGGGTCAGACTTCAGTCCTCTACATACATATACATTATGACTGTGAAGCTTGGGGTGTATGTAGGACTACTAACAGTGGGAATAGGTGCTGTCTCTGACTCTTTTGCCTGCTCTTAGGACCCTTTTCCTCCTACTGGGTTGCCTTGTCCAGCCTTCATATGAGGGGATGTATGATAGCAACTTGATACGCCATGTTTGTTTAATATCGCTAGGAATCCTGTCCTTTTCTGACGAGAACTGGAAGAAGGTGGGTCTGGGGGAGAGGCAAGGTGGTGGGCAAGAGACTGGGAAAAAGGGGAAACTATAGTGCGGATACATGACAGAAGAATAAATTTTTAAACAAGAATTCTGGTTTATGTTGAGACTGTACAATGACTACTGGTTCTCTACAACAAGGGAATAGGGGTTTTTTCTAACCAATTGCTCTGGGGGAATCATAAGAAGACCTTTAGTGTAGCCTGTTTCTTGATCAATGAACCAAGAATGTTTGAAATAATTTCAGCATAAACATGGTGTAGAATTCAGGGTTTATCTCTAATCCTGGAGTTCTCTTTTTTCCCAAATCCTTGCCTCTTTCAAAACACAAAACTTCTAGTGGGCCATGATGGCACACATCTATAATCTACTATCAGCATTTGGGAAGTTTGGGCAGGATGATCACTTCAAATCTGCAATCGGCCTGGGCTTTGTAGTGAGTCCTGGGACAATCCAGCGTACACAGCTAAATCCTGTCTCAAAACAACAGAAACAGGCCAGCCTGTGGTTTTGCACGCCTTTAATCCCAGCACTAGGGAAGCAGAGACAGGTGGGGTGGATCTCTGAGTTCAGGGCCAAACCAGGAGTTCTAGAGGGAGTTCAAGGACAGCCAGAGGTACACAGAGAAACCCTGTGTCAAACAAACAAACGAAAATTCCATTTCTCATCAGCATCCAGCCTCTCTTGTATTTCAGCTCAGGAAGTTTGTGGTATTTGCCCTCACTGATGTGAGTATTGAAAGTTGCCTCAGAAAGGAACCAAGACAATAGCAACCCAAAGACCTGTGCATTCTTCAGAAGAATAACGTGCATATCTGCTTTGTTACTGAATAATAATTTTTTCCCCTTGAGCTGTGAGAAATTGATTCAGGGAGACTTTGTGCTACACCAATGAAAACAAAGCTGCATTGAGATCGCCTCCAGTTGTCCTGTCTTCCCCTAGATGACAGTGAATGAGTCAATAGTCTTAATCTTACAGGATGTTGCATTGGCTAGTGTTACTTTTATACAGCAAAGCAAACATTTTGGAACACTATATTTTTGTATTTGCTCTTTAATCTCCCATACCCTTCAAAGAAGAGAGGTGAGAAGAGAAGAAGGAAAGAAAGGATGAAAGAATACAAAGAAAGGGAAGGAAGGAAGAATAGATAAAAGACAGCGAATGCAAAGAGAAAGGTAAAGAAGAGTTAAGCTCTCCAACGAGAGGTAAAGCTAAAGAAATGACAGAATCCTAATTATGTGATAGATCATTTGAAAAGACAACCCTCCAAGACCTGAATATTTTTACAATGGAAATATGACGGCAAACTTTGCCATAAAACAATAAAGTGACACCATAAGTTTTAAAATCATTAACGATGCCCTCGGTGATGCATGACATCCAG